CGATTTACTGCCTGTGGTGTATTAGCGATCATGATCTACTTTGCTCAGGATGACTGCTTGATTTCCTTTGTCTGCCTTTGTGATCATTATTGACTGATCAGACCGCAACGTCTTGAGTGCGTCTCGTTCCTTGATACTCAGGTTACTTGGTTGATATTACTAGTTTTTAATGATTCTGGCGATCTGTGCTCGAGCTCTGTTTGCGTCATCGAGTGATAACATCTGCAGTTGCTCCTCCACCGCTGGAATCACTTCCAATGTTTTAAGAGGTCTGGGGCTGATGTTGAAATTCAATCCCTTGTTCAGGAGTTTACTTTCAGCTTCTGTCAATACGTGATCCGACAGGTTTATTACAGGTTGGACCGTGATATCTTGTGTGCCCAAAGATGAACAGATGAACGTTTTCTTTCCGACCTAATGAAACCGACAGTATTGATTGCGCAATTAACCTTCAAATCACTCAATTATTCCATGTTCCCTAGGAGACAAAATTCAACACTGATATATACTTACAAGTTTTCCATTTCTGAACTTGAGTAAGATATTAAGAGAGTTACGTCTTCAAATGGCTCTATTCAAGCTAAAATAAGCACACCTTGGGCATGCTGTAGAATACTATTTTGGTACAACTGTTATGGGCTAAAGCCGCACTATTAGTCCCGTATACATGCCATAAACACATTTGCGGAAAGGAAACAGAGACATCCATGAAGACGTCTCATTTGATCGGATGGTTTGCTGCAACAACTGGTCACCTGTAAAGTTTGATAAGTCTAGTGGATTCTCCATATTTGTGTCTTAAACGAACTGGTTACACTCTATTTACCGTTTGATGCAATTATCAATGAAGTATCTCAACATATTTGAGCATTTATTCTACTAACATGTGGTTCGGTCTTTTTCTATAAGCTTCTGGTTCGATCATTGTTTCCTTTTATGTCCAGTGACTGCAGAATTCGACTTCATCTAGATATTGTCATTTTTATTCATCAGTGTGTTTCTGTCGCTGGTTCGAATCCAGCCGAAGCCCTGACTTTTCACAGTTGGGTCTCATCTAAATTCATCAGTTTGTTGGATTATCACATTAAGTTCATAAGCAACGAAAGGGTTGGAAATCGAGCGCCGGTCAGAA